TCATGCTTCTCCACATGATGCCACTTATATGTCACCAAGCGCAATGCAAGTGGGCTCCATTGCTGTCTCCAGAACTTCCATAAGATCAGCTAGCATCTACTCTCCAATTTTCAATGCACAGTCTTAATCTATGAATGAGGTTGTCAGTTTCCTCTGCCACATGCCTGACATTGCAAAACATACCCCAGTGTTTGATATTTTAAATGTGGGACGATGGGTTTTAGAAATGATGAATATAATACAGAAAACTCACCACTTGAGAATACAAATAATGTATATACAAAAATGACCACATATCACAGAAATGTTTTTCTTTTATGATTTGGAGGCAAAATCGATGCCATCTCCCAGCACTGAACCACTTCAGCTTCTGTCCCTTCCTACAGCTTCCTCTCCTCCTCTGAGAGAGCATCCCCTTACACTGGTTCTTCTTGACACCAAATAGAGCTAGTGGAGAAGCAGAACCCCAGCAGTTCACCCTTCAAAGGCACTACTCTTCTTTTCCCATAATACCTGCAGTATGCTCTTCTCTGGTACAGCAAAACCTCTGGAACCCACACAGTTTGAGCTACAGAGAGCTATGAGGTGGTTATGAAGACACCCCTGCTATTAAAAATAATGACTACACACATAACCTGGCATAGCAGTGATGCTTCCCAAACCTTTATTTTTAAATGAGATGTCAAAAACGGCCCCATTTCTTATTCCGCTCCATAAATGCTTACTGAATGCTTTAAGGGTCAGAACTCTATTTGACTCCGGTTTGGGGATGAAATCCCAAGAGAAATAAGTCCCTACTCATATCATGCACTCACCAGTACAACTGAAAGGAAAAAAATGAACACAGGAGGGTTAGGTATTACCAATTGTTTCTAAGGTCTAACACAGACCCTCCTCCCACCCATGTGTGTATGTGTGTGTTACACACACACACTTGTATATGTGTGGTTTGTAAGGAAGGCTATAAGAACAATATATCAAAATGTGAGCAATCTAAAAATTAAGTTATCAGCTTTTCCTCCATACTGCAAATTACAAAAGAAATAGGGCTTTGGTGTTAATAGAAGCTTCCAGTCCTATAGTGTGAAATTTGACCAATCATCTCAAGACCTAAAGCTGCAGTGCTAAAGATATTTCAACCAAGTGATATGTAGTCCTGGGACCTAATTTCAACTTGTCTGCTCCACCATTTCTCTCTCTCTCTCTCTCTCTCTCTCTCTCTCTCTCTCTCTCTTCCTCCTCCTCTCTCTCCTCCCCCTCCTCCTGTCTCCGCCCCCCTCTCTCCTCCTCTCTCTCTCTCTCTCTCTCTCTCTCTCCCTCCCTCTCTCTCTCCTCTCTCCCCCCCCCCACCTTAGACTTTACTTTGGAAATGTGTTCTAGAATAGCTGGATCACTGAACTGCCCTAAGTTCCCATAGGCACAATACACTCATGGAAAATAGGACAGTCATCTTTGCAAAGGGCTACACAAAAGGCATCTGCAGCTGGGTTGTGGTTCTTTCTCATGCTCAGATCACTGTATGCTCAAAAATCAAATATCAAATGTACTTCACAGTTTTACAATCCAACCTTCCTTTGATCATTTATTAGGCACTACTTTAGATGAGCCATGTCTCTGACCATTTCCACATTAGAATTCTACTTGAGGATTAAAATAACCAATTATAAACAGTTGGCAAATAAAAATGAAACTAAAATGGAAATCACTTAGTGTTGAGATCTTCTAAGGTTGTAAGATCTTTAGCTTTTACATTTTTTTCCAATTGCCAACAGCAAGCAAATCACTTTAAAATACATAACGGACATTGCTTACCCAGAAGGTAAAAAATAGTAACAGATAGTAAAACATACCTTAAAAAACAACCCTAATAATCTAACCCAAATTTTTAATTAGAATGCTATCAGTACAAAGAAAAGGAGGAACTATTAACTAAGTGAATAAATTAAAACACTCACTGGTTCTTTAACTTTTAAATGGCCCTTAAAAAAAAATAACAGTATTTTCCTGTGTAACAGGAATAGTAAATGATCTCTACTATTTCACCAAAAACTCTGATCTTTAAGACACATTCTCTAACATCCGAACAATACCTTGTGGCGTTCGATGTGAGAGAGTCTCCGTTCATCAGGCAAAGTTAAAGGCAGCAAGAGGCTTTAGATGGTTCGGTTTTGCCTGCCCCACCCTTATTTCCTTTGAGCCATAGTGATGTCACAGCCTCAGCCAGAGCAATGACCTCACTGCTCCAGTCCCTGCTTCTGAACACATAATCCTTTACAGGACAAATGAAATGACAACAGAGCGCTCCAAGAGCCCTGAGTGTCTGATGAATTCCCAACAAATTAGCAGCTAGTGAGCTTTTTGAAAGAAAGAGATGCTGCACCAGCACCGTTAAGGATCTCTCTAAATGAAGTGGTGCTGAAGATAAATTTGATGCATGGGTTTCAATGGGGAGTCTATATTCCATAATAAAGTTGGCATTCAAAGAGGAAAATTGTGATGGGGTGCTTGGAAGAGAAGGTTAGAATCAAAGATGACCAGGGTATTCTACTTAAGAAACCTCTCTTCATTATAGCTGAATTCTCACAGACAGAAAGAAAACATTATTTTCAACCTACTGTTGGAATTTGTCTTATACTAGCATGTGAGGCATGAATTCTACTTTGTCAATTGTAGAACTTTTAAAGCACTAATTTAAAGGATGAATGGACATTCTATAAAAGAGAAGAAAACACTGGTACATTAAGTTTCTCCACACTTAATCTAGCACAGTCAAGTCAGGATTCAGAGAACAGTGGCAGCATCTTCTCTCTCGGGACACTGGTAGACACCCCTCATCCACCTCGTGTTCCCTTAGCGCATTTTACCAATCAAATTTATTTTTGTAAATTTTATTGAATTTTTATGTTTTCGTACAGAACATCTTAATCATCTTTATACCCCCTTCCCCACTGGCACCCTCCCATAGCCCCCCCTCACCAGATTTCATACATTCTGTTATAAATGTTTAATATACACAAATCTCATCTGATCCAGAAAAAAAAAAAATCCTTCATCTTGTCTTCCCACACAAGTGAAAATTGGCCCAAGTCCAAGAACCTAACAAGAACTGACAAATACTGCTTCTAACCTAAAGACACTGACCTTTGACCCGTAACTCCACAATCCTTGGACTAAAAGGGGGTTTACAAATTAAAGTGGCCACTGTTCTTGGTACAGATAAATCACTTAGAAAATATGCTCCGTTTTGCAAAAAGAATTTACCAAGTGTATTAGCTAGACCGATTTACAAGTGGCTTGTGTACCTAATTATTTTGCTTTTCTAACCCATCAGAAAATCATAATGTAAGTCACTATTTAGCATTCAGTTTTTTATCAGTCTTAGAAATTAACAAATGACAGTCATGCTTCTTTGATTTACAATTTAGTTCCTCTCACAATAACTAAAGTTTGAAAAGTTGATGCTAGAGTGAACATGCAGTTAAAATAAATAAATAAATAAAATAAACCTCCCTTGCTGAGCCAAGATAGATCCTCAAATCACTTCCTTGTTCCCAGGATTCACTTAGGTTTCATGTCCTCCTCTGCTATAATTGGTACAGCATTCATGGCTCACAGCTATAGGTGGAGTTTTATCATTTTTGTTTCTTTGACGCTCTAAAAACCAGTGTAAAATGCAAAAAAATAAATGTCTTTTAGACTCGATGTGACGACTTTCTTAACTTGGGTTACGTTACCAACAGTAACTCCAGCACTTGTGGTCACTTCAAAGACCCCCCAAAAGCACCCCCTCCCCCAAAAAAGACAGCCAGAGATGTCTGCAAAAGCAATTCTGCAAAACTAATGTAAAATTAGAGCTGAAACGCCAACTTAAACACGTAATGGAAGCATTGCCTGCGCGATTAGCAGGACTACGTGGCCCTCCCAGGATTTCTCAGCCCAGCCTCCACGCGTAATTAATACCACATGTTTCCTTTATCTTTCTATTTGTTCTCGCGAACTCGTCTCAACTTGAACCCCAGCCGGAAAAGATAGAGGAAAAAATCCCCCAGAAAAGTTCAGATTGGTAAATCAGAAAACGGAAAGGGCAAGGTTGCTCCCACCGCAAAAGACCACAGTTGCAATCTAGTAGGTAACCACACCCACCGCATTGCAGAAGCAGTGAACTTGCCGCGGGGAGGGGGGGGGGGGGGGGGGGGGAAGCAGGGGGGAGATTTGAGGGGAACCCCGAGAAAGCAAGCCCCTTGACTCGGGAGCACTGGCAGGAAGTGGCAGGGACCCCCCGACTCCAGCGTCCCCGCCCCCACCTCCGCAGAGTAGCCTAGGCCACCCCTCCAGGGCGGCTGGCAGTCCCGCAGGCTCCAGGTGAGCGCGCAGCGCGAGGGTCCGCAGGCCGTCTGCACCCGGGAGCCGCCGAGGGGCCCGGAGCCCGCAGGTGTCCAGGCCCGTGGCCACCTGGCTGTACGCGCTCCCTCCTCAGCGCTCGCCGCCGGCCTGGGGACGGTGCCCCAGTTCAGGGAAGGAGGCAAGTTACATAAAAGCGGCCGGCCCCGCCGCGCAGCCAGGATGCTCCGGCCCAGCCGCGACCGCCCGGGATCAGCTCGGGGGCGCACGGTCCCTCCCGCCTGGGCGGCGCCGCAGTGTCGCCCCCCCCCCCGCCCGGGAACACTCAAAACATGGCGCCCCGACCCCGCGCGGCGCGCAGATAGCCGGAGAGGGACGCGGGGGCCCTACCGCCCCCTTCGCCCCCGCTCCAGGAGGTCCCCCGAACCGCGGCAGAGTGCGCCGGCCCAGCACGAGCTGCGATGCTGCGGTGTGGCGGAGGCAGCGCAGCGGTTCGGCCCGCAGGGTCCCGGGCCGGCGGGTGGACGGGGGCCCTGGGGACCCCGGCTGCGCGACCCCGCACAGCCGTGCGCGCCTCGCGGCCGGCCGGGGCTGGTCCCCCGAACCTCGGGAAGCGAAGCCCCCGCCATCCTCTCCACGGGAAGAGGCAGAAAAGTTACCTGGGGTGGGCTGCAGGCCGGGCGCGCCGCGGTGTGGGGACCCGGCTCGGGCTGGCGTCCTGCTTGGCGATGCGCAGGAGACTCGGCGCGGGGAGGAAGCCGCAGCCCCGGGCTCTCGCCGCTCCCCCCGCCCCTTCGCAGGAGACACGGAGGCTCCGCGGAGCTGCGGCGGGGGCCCACGCCCAGACACCGCGAGCAGACAGCCAACCTCGGCCCGACTCGACTCCCGGGCGCGGGGGAGGGCGCCTCCGCAGTACTCCAGGACAGGTTGGAACAGTTGCCCCTCTCCTGGTGCAGGGTCAGGCTCTGGGGACCGCTCCTGAGACAGCTGCCAATGGCCTGAGTCTTAGGATTTAGACTTACATGATTGCTGGGCCTCTGGTCCCCTCCTCTCCTTTTGCGCACACCCTCGGTGAGAATGGAGGGAGGGGATGTTCTTGACCTTCGGGTGAGTTCTCTATTGGCTTAAGGACTGCAGTATTTCCCCCCCTCTCTTCTTTTGGGAAGAATGAATGAATGAATGAATGAATGAATGAATGAATGAATTTAGGATTTAGACTTACATGATTGCTGGGCCTCTGGTCCCCTCCTCTCCTTTTGCGCACACCCTCGGTGAGAATGGAGGGAGGGGATGTTCTTGACCTTCGGGTGAGTTCTCTATTGGCTTAAGGACTGCAGTATTTCCCCCCCTCTCTTCTTTTGGGAAGAATGAATGAATGAATGAATGAATGAATGAATGAATGAATGAATATAAATTAAATAAATAAATAATAAAAATAATTGGATGTGCCTTACAAGGGTTGGGTGCTCTGGAAATTTAAGTTAATAGAGAAACTGAGCTAATGGATGATACAGAGGTTTCCTGTCTTGTCAGCAACTCGCTACTGGCTTCTTCCCAGCATCTATCTATAAAGCTTCTGCTGAAAAGGTTAGAACAGCTGTTCTTACTTTGAGGGGTGAAAAATAATCATTACCTTCTCTGGTCATCTCACATCCTCTAGGCTCTAGCCAAGGAATCCTGACATGTTTCTTTAAGACTTTTAAGCTGTTTTCCAAATCACCTAGTCATTGTCCTGGAGCTTAGGACTCATTAAGGGACAGAAAGAAAGATTCTCAAACTATTGAATTTACTAATGGATGTCAAAGATACTGTGCAAAAAGAAATCCCTCCGGTAGAGTGAGCGGGTTGCTCAGTCAGCAGGCCTGAGGAGGTGGGGAGACTTGGCCTGGGTTTGCTAGAATTGGAGCAACTTCATTTTTTAAAAAGGGAGGTGACATCTCATTGCCTTGACTGGAGAGGAGGGCATTTTGTCGTCCTGTATGAGGAGAGAAGGTTAGAAAATTATGCTGTGCTGCAGTGGGATTTAGGGGCCTGTGCTTTGTAGAAGATGCACAGATTTGGGAAATATTCAGCAAGATGGTGTGACTTAAGTCATGCTTAGGAAAAAAAAAAATAACCTGATGGCACTGCACAGGCTGGGGCAGATGGGCAAATACCAGGCTGCAGGTGGGATGACCCAGTGGCACAGATCCAAGAGCCGGGGTAACAAGGACCCAGAATGCCTTTCAAATACAGGTAAAATTCAAATACCGGGTATATTTGGAGGCCACCTATGTTACTTTTGAGACATATATGTGTCATATGTTCATATATGTGGTATGTGTGTTACATATATCTGTGAATGAAGATAGGATTTATCATTATCTGTGTGCACAATGACAGTCGACTTGCACGAATCGTATCTGTTTACAACAAACACAAACTTGGCATTATCATTTGAGACACAGATGGTTTTATACTTTCATTCATTTCATTGCAGTGTTTTTGTTATTTCTTTAATTGAATGCAAACTGCTCTCTCCATGACTCATGAATCTTAATCTTTGTGGGATGAAGATCAATGATAGCATATGAATGACTATTTTCTTGGGATAAATATTAGAATATTAAGTATTCTATTTGAAAAGCCAGGGATATAAAACTATGTATTGTAATAATCCACAGGTTCAGGAATTGGAGGAAGAGCTGGGAATGGGGCTCAGTTGATAGAGCACTGGCTTAGCATGCAGGAAGCCCCAGCACTGCATCACCCTGGTGTTGTGGTGCATGCCTGTAAATCCCAGCACTTGAACTGGGAAGGTGGATGGAGGCAGGAGGATCAGAAGCTCAAAGTCTTCCCTAGCTACAGAGCAAATTTGAGGCCAGCCTGGCCTACATGGGACAGTGTCTCAGCCACCCCTTCCAAGCACACAGGAAGAACTGGAGTAAATGCTGAATAGCTGCATATTAATATTGAATCTGGGAAGTAATTATTAGGGATCCCTTTGGGCATGACCAAGGCTATCCACTATTTCTTTTTGTTTTCCTAACACAGATACAGAGGAAACAACAAACAACAAACACCCAACTCATGAGCAAGCATTGCTCCCATGGTAATTTCCTTACATGTGCTTAACACACTCTTCCTTCTGCCTTGTTACTATCATGCAGGAGCAATTCTCAGTCATCTCTGTCTCCACACAGAACCTCACTGGGTACACAGCAAGCCAGAACTTAGTTTTTGCTAAATGAATGAAACTATATTGACTAATGAACTAAACTCTCTCTTTACACTGAGGATGCAGTCTCCTTATGTACGGAAAAATGGGCTATTTTCAAAATCCCTTATGCTTCAATGATACTAGGATTCTATCAAATTCAAAGACATCACAGACTGGGGAAATAGCTTAGTTGGTAGTGTTTGCCTTGAAAGCGTGAGAGTCTGAATTTGATCACCCAGAACCCACATTAAAAAGGCAGGCATGGAGCTGGAGAGAGTGCTCAGTAGTTAAGAGCACTGACCACTCTTGCAGAGAACCTGGATTGGATTCCTAGCACCCACATGACAGCTAACAGCTATACAGGGGATAAGACCCCCCCTCTTCTGGCCTCCCTGTGCATTGCACACATGCTGAACTTACATACATACAGTCAAAAGACTTATGCACATAAAATTAAAAATAAAAATTGGAAAAACAGCCAGGCATGGTGTCACATACTTATAATCTCTGCACTGTGTAGGTGCAGACAGGAGGATCCCTGGAGCTTGCTGGTCAGCCAGCCTGGACTGATCCATGAGTCCCAGGCCAATGAGGGACCCTGACTCAAAAAGCAAGGTAGATGGCACCTAAGGAACAACATCCAAGGTTGACCTCCACATGCACATGCACAAAAGTGCATGTGCAAATGCACACACAGGCACCCACCAAAACAGAGGTAAATATATACATAGATGATACACCACATCCTAATACCTGCTAAGTAAGAGCAATATATTAAAAGCCTATTTACTGCACTGAGAAATAATGAATTCCTCCATACATAAACGTGAAGGGAATAAAAGTTTAACGTAAATGCGAAGTGGAGGTATCAATTACAGTTGAATTAACTTTCTTAAAGTTTAACTTCTCTGTGCCCCCTTCTCACTATTACAAAAAAGCCATGTAGACTCCAGAGAAGCCTTTATGCTTGTTAATGCAATGTTCATGGTGAATTTCCAATAAGTTATAGAGAAGTGGTTTGGGGGTCTATTTCCAAACAGATATAACAAAAATACGATGTAAAAGCCTTTCACACAGTCCCAGAGTTAGTGGCCATGTGGCAATAGGACTCAATTTTTCAGTTCCTGGTTTATATAGATGATGTTACATGGAACAGTATGCAAATTCAAAAATTCACCAAAAGCTGACAAAGATTCCATCCCTCCTGTGTAGGTCTTAAGGTGCCTGTTCTAGTCTCTACGCATACACTCATTTACTCTACAGCACTAATCGTATTTCCAGCTTCCTATAATTGTTTTGCAGCACATGTTATGTATCCCTGATGGCCAACCAATCATGCAGAATTATAGCCATGATATGGTAAAAGGAGTTCATCCCATCTCAGGTAGGATGAAGAGGCAGGATCTCCCCTGAGGCTTTACCCACAAACAAGCAGCAGTGGATGCCTGGCTCATTGGTACTCATTGGCCCTCTACTTCCTGGACAGTGATCGCTCTAACTTGATAACCAAAGTGAGAACAAACAGAATGTGCAGGTTGTCTTGACAGCAATATTTGTCAGCCTCAAGCACAAGATTCCAGAAAGAAATGATGGGACTCTGACCAGTGATCCCTACTGAAGATCTTCCAGACATGAAGATTAAAGGAATACTGAAGCTCCATCAAATCCTGGAAATGCTACTGTATAGGCATCACACACCATTTGTCCTCGTTCGTTCAGTCTAAGCTGCTGCCTTAGTAAAAAGTTAACTGCATTTGCAGTAACCATTTGAGGCTTATTTTATGCAGAGTAATGTCGGGCACCTGAATTGCATATCAAGTCCTTGAAATCAGGATACAACATCTTTAGCCACAGCATAACTAAAGTCGGTAAATAAGAAAAATTCAGGGATGAATGCATAATTCAAAAGCAACAAGCCTCTCCTGAAATAAGAATTCATCTAAGAGTTTCTAGGTTCTCAGAATAGTGTTAAGTTTATAGCTCATTAAGGCTTCCAGATGCTGTCTCCATTTTGGGTGTGTATTCTTCATTTCGAGGGTCTGAATAGATGCAAGGCACAGATGTGCGATGAGATTAAAAACCACCAGTAAGCACAAATGCAACACGAGATGTAGAAAAATGTGTACATTTGAGAAGGAACAAGTTTTGACATGTTAACACACCATTCAGAGAAATCACTATGTTGTACCAGAACTCCATGTTTGCCTCCTTTTCCTCCTCTTACAGTAGCCAAAAGTGGGGCCAATGCACATTATGTAGATGTCATTGTAGTGAAACATACTCTTAAAACTTTCCTGTTTCAATTAAATTTCAGAAATAGGTTTTGGTAATTTCAAATAGAATAATTCCTACCAATACAATTGTAAGGGTTATTCTAATGCTCAGTTCTTTGCAGAGTTGAAATGCTTGATAATTCTATTCTCCCATTAAATAAAAATAGGAACCCATTAAGAATGTTTTCTCTTTGGGAATTTTATATACAACATAAAGAACAGAATTGCAAAATATATATATAAAAGAACGGGATTGGTAGTGTGTAATTGTATTCAATTCCTAAATAAATATACATTAAGGATGTTTTTTATTTGTGAATTTAATATACACTGTAAAAACATCAAGAATGAAAGTTGATAATATGTAATATTACTAAATTCAACTCTCAACAG